TGATTTTTTAGGTTATGAAGGTCATATTTGGTTAACTTCTAAATAACCTTTTTTGTGTATTTTTTCTACTACTTTAGAATGCTGGTATTAGAATTACCATTTATATTGCTCCTTGCTTTTTATATTGCTCCAGTTATAGATGAAAATAGTGACGAAGATTAACAATATTGTAACCAAATGTCAAAATCCTTAAAAACTGTTAATTGATGTAATATTGTTACATAATAAATCATTATTTTACTATTTTCATGAAAAAACGAACATAGTTATATCCGTTTTGTAAACATTGTCTTAACATCTATTAGAAATATTTTATTATTTTTAATATTAATTATGATTATTTAATATAAAGTTTCCTAGTACCTAAAGCCAGCTGAATCAGGTCTCTTGCAGCTAGAGCAAAGTAATAATTGATTCTACAATCTGCCTAGATTTGGAAAAAAATTCTAGAGTATTTTTCGTTTTAACTGATTTGGAACTATATACTTTCGAGGTATGCCCATAATATGGAAAATATCAAAAAATTTCAAATTCTGAGCATGTTCAGATCCGAAAATGGTAACTTTAATACCAGCATTCTAAAGTAGTAGAAAAAATACACAAAAAAGGTTATTTAGAAGTTAACCAAATATGACCTTCATAACCTAAAAAAATCACTGAAAATATCAAATTTCTCCTAGTTATAGTACTCAGCCTATCTGCATATCAATTTGTAATATTTTATATTGAAGTGCAGTTGAAAAAATATTCATGTTAGCGTGTTCAGCGAATAATATGAAGTTTCCCCGTACCTAAAGTTGGCTGAACCAGACCTTTTGTAGCTACAGCAAAATAATACTAGATTCTAAAAACTGTTTAGAAAATTTCTGGAGTATTTTTGTGTCTTCTATCACCTATTGAACTATTTAATTTTTAGGTTATGTGCCAATAACATGGAAAAAATGCGAAAAATTCGTTTTTTATCAAATTTTGATAATGTTCCGGTCCGAAAATGCTAATTCCAAGACCGGCATGCTGAAGTACGTGAAAAAATATACCAGAGAATGTTATTTAGAATTTGGCCAAATATGACCATCATAACCTAAAAAAATCATTGAAAAGTTCAAGTATTTTTCCTAGCTACAGTTTTGATCACAAAAATCTGAAAAAAATTAGGATGTTTTCTTATCCAAAAACTCACGTTCATAAATTTTTGTAGATTTTTTGGAGGAAACAGTGGAGCAGCAGAAATTTTTTTCTAAAAAACACGTTTTTCACAATAGGAGCAACCCATTATCACCTAGGGGGCTGAAATTTGAGCTGAAGGAGTTTTTAAATATGCCCTATCGAATAGCCAATTCCAAATAATAATCCAGGCTAGGGCAGTTTTGACCTTTTTATCCCGCTATAGCCTTTATAAACAAATGTTTTTTCGAGACCATACATCAATCAATTCATTCAATAATAGGATGGGGGAAGGATAAAAAACAAAATTTGTATTAAAATAATAATTTATATTTAATTTTTATATTCCGAATTTAATTTATAAAAAAAGGAATGCCTCGAATATGACAACAGACAGAAGTAGAAATCAACTTAATTAGAAAATTAAAGGAATTCCAAATAACTGAATAAGACAATAATTTTATTTGAAAAACATAGGCTCAAGAGATTAAATCTAAATATGTAAAATTATTAATGTAAGCTAACACTAGTTGTTCGTGTGTGAATCATAAGTAATTTTATTAAAATTTATATAATAATATAAATAAACGTTTCGACTTTTCGTTTATAGATTCTCATCGGTATAAGTTTAACCGAAGTATCAGAATTTACTAAAATGATCTATGTCAGAGGGACACATTTGTATGTACATTTTGAGTAAGATGGACATCGAATTTTTTGAAATGCTGTATGAAATATAGTCAAACATTAAATATTTTCTTATGAAATAACAGTAAAAAGAGAAAAGGAAATAAATTTGTGATACATATTTAACTATAAGACGAGCGAACCACACGATGCATCGATTGATATATTAAATTAGCTGATTTATTGTTTAAAAATAATTACTAAAATTAATATGTGTGTAAAAAATAATGTTACATGAATATAATATATATGGTATATTTAAATATAGTCAAATATAGTCACATTAAATATATTTTAATGAAATATAATTAAACATTAAATATTTTCTTATGAAATAACTTTAATTTTATGAAATAAAATATTTTAAAAATAATTAGTAAATATTTATCGCTATTCTTATATATCACTATTTAATATTTATCACTATTGTTACTTGTGTAAAAAATAATGTTACATGAATTAATTTACTAATTATTTTTAAAATATTTTATTTCATAAGATTATTAAATTATTTATTCATACAGCATTTCAAGAAAATTCGATGTCCATCTAATTCAAAATGTACATCGTGTATTCCCATGACATAGATCATTTTGTAAATTCTGATATTTCGGTTAAACTTGTACTGATAAGGATCTATAAAACGTTTATTTATATTATTGTATGAATTTTAATAAAGTTACTGATAATTCACACGAACAACTAGTGTTGTGGCTCATATTAACAATAATTTTATATATATCTAAATAAAATATATGCGCATTATATATATGTATACATATTTGTATTTACAATCAAAATAGAGTGAAAAAATATTAATTGACAAATTGCATATCATATTTATATGTACCTAAATTTTTAGATATCTACTTGAGTAAAACAATTCTTTTCATGTAAATTTTCCATGCAATTAAATCTGAAAAAATGCATTATATCTGATATACAAAATAAGTCGCAATTTAAACGAGACATATAAGACATTTTTGGATTGTTTGACATATTTAGATCTATGTCGGATAATTCTATATATTCGAGTGTTTGAGATATATATAAGAAAGATTAAAACATATATATGGTTAAAAATAAATAATTTATAGAGAGTATGAAATTCAACAAAAATATAATTCCAAATGTATTATGCACTCAATAATGCATGAAATGCGACGTATTCGATCCGGAAATGCAAAAACCAAAACTGAAAAGCATTAACAATGGCGAAGTGCATATCCAAAAGTTGTTAATGCTATAATAACATTGTTAATGCGAATAACCTTACACGATCGTAAATTGATTAGTGATGCGACAAAGATGACATCGACGACAGATGAGAAAAAAATCCTTCGAATTGAAAACGGCGATATGGAAGCGAAAGAAAAGGAGAAAGAAAATAGTGTTGAGGATAATATCGTGATGCCTGATGGATTCACTCCGCAGATTAGAACAAGGAATGTTGTTGCAATACCTACATACTGTCCGAAAGGACAAAGACAAGATAGTAAAGGACGTTGTAGAATTGTCATGTGAGTTACTTTTTTATTTTTAGGATAATCCTTAATCACAAAAATCTAATAACCTTCTCGACAAAAAATATATAATTGAAATACGTAATATTCGAATGGATTATTCTAGGGGTTTTTCAATTTTAATTTTAACGATAAATGAATTAGAATTGTACAACCACAGAAAAAACCAAGACAAATTTTCTAAAGGTTTAGTTTATAATATATAACGGCTTTATATTGAAAAAATTAATAATAAATTGGTTACTTTTAATATTAACATTATGGTTAAAAATTTTAGGTTATTTTGTATGATAATTAAATACTTTGTATAATTATTAAATGACTATTAATTTGTAGGATGTAATTATCAAATTCCTAAAAAATACACGTTTATTACATATTTATATATGGCAGTTTAATAATTTTTATATTTTCTGTTATAGAGAATAAAAGGTAGACAAAAAAAGGAAGACAAAAAGGAAACAATTAAATAATAATTGAAGATCTCCAGTTACCAATATTTGTTATAAAATATTGTATTAAAAACATGTAAATTGCTAAATTAATAAAGTGCTAATTTCAATATACATATCTTTTATGCGCATTCTAACATATTCAAATATGATTTTATTTAATTTATTGATATAAAAATTTTATATTTAGCATATTAAGTTATAAAAATAAGTTTCATATAAGTTGTCCAATTAAAAATAAATTCTAATAAACGTAATAATTGATAATATATTTGAACGATTTTACCTAACTGGTACGACAATCTTATATTTGGTATAATAAATATAAAAATTATATTTAAATTGTCAAGTTAAAAACAGATTCTGAAATACACATAATAATTTAGTATGCAATATTTCGTTTTTAATCTATGACATAAATTCTGCATATTCAGCAAGATTGTCGGTATTTTTGAAACTTATAAATTATTATATTTTCAAAACGCGAGAATTGAATTATAAAGATATTTTTGTGTGTATAAATATTTTTGCTCGCTAATAAAACAAAAAGAAAATAATTTAAGCATTTTTAGAGATAAGATTAAAGAATTGAAAAATTACATATTTGTCACTAGTCTTATATCACTAAACAAGTTTTATGACAAATATGGTAAGCTCAATGGGAGAATGTGATTATAACATAATTCATTAAATTAATTAAGAAACCAATACATAAATGACATATTTAACTTATACAATAAACGGATTGCAGATGTAAATCACGACTGACTAATTAAATTAAATTAATATCGCGTACACGCTGTTATTTTATTGTAGTAATATCTCTCGAATGAAATTGTCGAATAGAATCCTGATTAATTGTATTACCGCGCGTTACATAACGGGTGAATTAAATAAAGGAAACGCAGCGTTTAGATTATCATAAACGTTATATAAAATCATAAAACATTACGTAAAAAATTAATTAATAATATTGAAAAATATTTTCTAAAGAATTTTTAGAATTACACCTAGATTTCATTAAGCTTTCAGTTATTAATGACCAATTATATTTGTTATAGAACGTTCATTATTAAATTAATTTAGTATTGTTAATAAAAATCCTTCTTGTGTAGCAAAATAAATGTTCGTATAGTTAATTTATATATTTATTATTTCTCTCTTCTCCACTTACCTATATACAAAATACCATCGAGATCAAGATTCTCGTTGCTGCCCTGGCTGTTGACAGCGGTCACGTGATCGTCCACAGAGAGAGTGTGTCTCTTTGCGGCAGGTCTGCCAATACTGACGGCGTGCCATTTGCCATCGTTCAACTTGGACTTCGAAGTATCCCTGACCCTGACAGCTCCGTCGCCTAGGTCAAACACGTAGTGTACGTGTCCGTTTACCAGCTCGACCGCAATGAAATCATGCTCTCTTCCGGCATTATAAAGGATCAAGCCGTTTGCTTCGCGCGTTTTGAACTGAAAAGTAATTTACAAATATAAGGTAATGTGTTCTCTCTCTTTCTCGCTCTGCAATCTGATTAGATGATATTCTTTTTACGATTAATGATAAAATCTTTATGATAAAATAGATGTAATAAAATGGATCTCGCGGTTCTTTATTTACCGAAAGCTCGCCATATAATATCTATGACGTGCAAAAAATATTAATTTTCACCTGGAAATAAATGTTGGTCTCCAAGTACGCTTTGAGTACCGGAAGTCCGACGAAAGTGTGCTTGGAGGTGAAGGTCACCGGATGGTGAACCGGATGATTTCTTTTTCCGAATTTGCCGGTGACCCGGATGATGGGCGCAACGCCTTGATGTGAGGTTTGATGGCTTCCAGCGCTGCGCGCAATCTCCAGGTATGGATATCCGTTGAACCAGATCTGCTGCAGCTGGCCCACGAAATGCGGTATGTCCTCGCCCGCGTGAAGATATCCGCCTACGTGGAGCGTTCGGAATTCCAAGATGCCCTGCTTTCCCAGCTGCGCTTCCGCTGCATTTGCATACAAACATCCATTCGTCATCAAATTGAAAAGCATTGAAACGCGTGAAATGCTTATAGTTTGTGCGAACTAAGTTTACAAAGAAAATACCAAAATTGCGAATATATTTACGGTTTTTCTGCTTATCTTATTGTCTCCAATAAAAATAAAGGGAAAGAATTTTCTCTTAAAACTGATCCTAAAAATATGATAGTTGTGGTAAAATATAATATTTTATAAAGATCTTCACCAGTACTTCAGTTATTTATTATTATTAAAAAAGACTCCAAATATTGATATAGAAGAATCAAAAGATTTTCATTGGTTGGTGACCTAAAGACCGCTTTATTGGCTGTTTGAGAAAATTTATTCATAAAAAGATGCACGGCTATCAGTGATGCGTTCTTAAAGCATTTTAAAGCTTGTAACAAAGTTAAAGATGGTCATTTTGAATGTTAATTATTACCTTTGGTATTTAATTAATAAGATATAATTAATATTACAGAGTTTGTCTTTTCATAAATACATATACGTTACTAATGATTCGTAAATACAAAACCTCGTTGTCATAATCCTATATATTTTTCTTGAGCCCGATTGTGGAACAATGTTATACGTTGATTTTATAAGCAAGGCTTAAGACTCTTTCTTTCTCTTTTTAAAGCCGAGAAAGAGAGACAGAGAGGGAGAGAGTTATGAGCCTCGTTTAAAGTCAAAGTAACGTTGATGCACAAAATCGGGTCTTAGAGTATATCTGTGTACTCGAGTGTTTGCGAAAGTATCGTGTACGTCGTCGGTGTCTAGTGAAAAGATTGATGAAGAAGAGATTCGATCGCTGGCCGAAATTCTCAAAGGCTCGTGAATGCACGGAACTTTACCATTTAAACTGAACTGTTGAACTACGCCAGGCTAAGACGGGAACCGCATATGTTTCGCTGTGCAGCAATTATCGTCCCAGCGCGATCGATTGCGCTGAAGTAAAGGCCGTGCAGAGCTGTTGCAATTTAGGCTATTGCCACCTAACTCAATATCGCCGGCACTCGCCGTCAGTTTAATAGGGTGATCCGAGAGACAGCTTTGCGAGGGTGGCTGTTTCACGGCGGCCGCTGCGGCGGGGTTTGTTTTGCAGGGGCCGATTGGGGCCAGGTTGATTGGTAAGCCACTCACGTGCAGTTCATATTATCGATATTAATAAGATACGACCGGGATGTGCTCGATTGCATCAGCGTCCTATGGAAATGTCGCTAATTGCTTTGATTATATCTTATATTATTTTCACATAAATGCATACGTAGTGTGCAAATTACGTAATATTTGTAATAGAATCACTGTGACAATTCTCTAAACTGTATATATGATCTTCACGTCAATTTAAGCACGATGGTCTTAAATGGCCCGCCAACATGACAGTCGCAATATTGGCAGAGACATCATAACAACGCTGTCGAACGGATATGATATCGGTATTAAAAATGTCGATTATCGGGAGAGAATCATATTAAGATCTCCGATATATCGATATTGTTTGCTCATAGCGTGTCTCTCTCGTTCCGCTAACCGCGGAATTTGCGCGCGACGAGAGAGTCCTGAGGGAATTTCTGCGAAGTGGTTTACCGTTGATGGAATCATGCGGGGATATAATTTACTTTATACTTGAAGCGTCGCTTTTGCGACGGAGTGCCACGAATGCCCCGGTAGACGTCGACCTCCTCCCTCGGCATCACCGATTCCGGATGCACTTTTCTCGTTGCGCAGCCGGCGGCGCGGCGGCGTGAAGAGCATTTCGAGGAGTCGGCACGATAAAAAGCGCATTTGCATGCCCACGATTTGTAATCCGTCCGCTGGATGTTGGAAAATCGATGGTACTGACTCGTATCTACCGCTCGTAAATAATACGGTTGGCGAATCGGCGTAAACAGAGAAAAATCGACGTTCTCACGCGCGGCCGCGAGCTAAGAGAATTCTTTGCCTTGAGGAAGAAAACGCGTGCTTCTTTTATCGATCATGCAGTAAGAAAAATTTCTAGTTGAAAATGAACGAATCAGAATTATGATTAAATATATTATTAGTAATTCTAAGTAACTGGATGCCTAATTATTATAATCAAAATTTTGATTAATATGATCAGAATCTTACTGGTTCGTTCATTTTCAAGAAATTTTTTTTAGTACACGCACTTTTTTGCACAAAATAAATTCAAAAATGTAGAAATAAATCTTTTTTTATTCTCAAAACTTCACTTTCGTGGTTTATTATAAAAATAGTTTAAGAGGTATTTTCCAGAAGGTTCTAAGGAGTCTCCTTCACCCATAAAATGTCTTTTCATCCCTCTACTTTAAAATAAATCTGTTCTATATCTTATTCATTGTACTTTATCGCTCGATTGCCCCTGAGATGAGCTTCATGGCTCGCTTATATGGCTGATACATTTTTCAGTCCCGTCACTAAAAATATCTTCGTCATTTACGAACGAAATTTTCGTCTACTGATATATTTCTCGCGTCTGACACACCGACCGAGTCTGCAATAACGACCGCAGCCTTGGAAAAATCTTCGATTAGCATTCATAAGAGTGTCTCGATTCGAAGAGTCGTCGACAGAATGCAAAAGCAGACGCAATGCGCGATGCATTTTGAATTTGTCATTGCAGAAGAGTCGAGAGCACCCGCGGGAAACTTGTAATTTAACCAATAGAGGAAGTGCAATCGGAAAAGGTGAAGTTTTAAACTCTACCAAAATTGAAGACATGATATAAAAAAGAATTATAAACAGTTTTTTAATTGTTTCTTGAAATTGATTAAGCATACAAAGGAAACTACTCATTAACTAATAATTATTTGTATTACATTAATTACGTACTCTTATTTGCATACGCGGGAGATTGTATAATTAATTATTTATTATAATTATACACATTAATTCGTTCAGAATGATTGTGCAATGAAATCATAAAATCTACATATAAATATCGCAAAATAGAAACATGTAATGTTGATGATTTTCTTTAGTAGATATCCGCTAAGCGTAAATTTTTATTATTAATTAAATGAAAATTTATTAGTTTTTTTGTATCTATATATTATTCAAAATTGAGATATTCGGGATATACTATAAGTTTAATTCAGTATTCATAATTATTAAATAACTTCTAGTATTCAACGTTAAACTTTTATAGATACAAACAAGTAAATTATTTAAAAAATAAAAGTATGCATATATTTTATTTTAAAAAATATAAATATATCTAAGTTTTTTATATGTAGGTAAAAATACAAAATGTATATATTTGAAAAATCTGTACATTTCTCTCTCTCTCCGTTTTACTAGAATGACATCAATCTTTCTAAGTTTCGTAATATTGGCTATATCGACAAAGTCTAAAGTGTCAGATAGCCGTAACGTATGTTCCAAGTTCTTAGTTTCAGGAAACTAGTATTTTGCAACAAACCAGTAGTTTCTAATTCGCCATTTGTCCCATTTGCACAACTTACGCGAGTGCGATGAGAGAAGTCTCGAAACTTGCGTGAAAAATTGCTCAAGAAATTTTTAATTTCGTGCGCCCGCTCATCGATCTTGCGAAACTTTCTCGGCAATTTTCATTAATTATTCAAATCCATGGAGCAGCCAAACTGACGCAATTACTCGTCTCGTAGCTTAATGAACTATTCGAAGATGTTCTATACGTGTAAAAATTATTTTAAAAAATACCTATGAGATTTAAATTTATGTAATTTGCATGTACGGACAAAAATATCTGTGCCAATTTTAAACGTAAAGTATGTAAAATAACTCGTCCAAAAAATGTTACATATCTACTGATTTATTTCAAATTATTAAAACTAAAAACTTTTTCTTGATGTTATAAAATTCTTGCCTTTTTGGGATCAATAGTGTACAACTATTATAATATTTAGAGTTACAAGAGAACTATTCTTTATAACAAAAAAGACTTCATGTTAATAATATGCGCGGGTCTCTCTACATTTTCCAAAAAAATGAGCGAAAGATTTATAAAACTGTCACACTCAATGATTCATTCGATCATCGCCAGCAGCGATAGCCGAAAACGACAGGACAATTTAGCTCTGAAATACTCGCCGTGCCAATTTCCCCGACTCGTCGGTCCGACAAATAACAACACTAATATTGGCCGTGCGAGAGCGTGGTGGGCGATGATCGAGAGAAGGCGGAAAATTATTTTCCGCGCGATAGCGTCGTTTCTACGCGAGGCCACGGCCGCGTCGTACGGTCCTCGCATAAATCTTTGGTAGACCGAATGATCCCGCCGCGGTGAATCCACCGACTGATAAATCTCGATGTGGAAATTGATTATCGGACGGGAATTCTCCATGGCGACTCCACCCTCGCCTCGTATACACCTGTATTTATACGCCCGGGGCAATTTGGTCGTACGATGCAGTTAATCCTACCCTCTTTCTCTCTCCATCCTCGTTATCCTCTCTCCTAGTACTTCACGCTTTTCCGTCGAGTAATACGCGTACACTCGATTCCAGTCAAATATTTTTGTTTTCCAATTTTGAGGACGCCGTAATCGCCGTAACAATGCTATAAAATAATTAAGTTCGGCGTTTGCATCTATCGTTGTTTGCTTATTTTTCCACGCGCGGACTTTCGGTTGTAATGTTTTAAAAAACAATACAAAAAATTTAAGTAAATACAAATTATATCGTTGTACATCGTCATATACAGACATATTGACGATGAAATTTGATCAATACGATTTCTGTGATATAATTGATTCTATGTCTTTTGTCGACCAACTTGAGACATACTCAATTATTCGAACTAATGTACATACTTTCACGTAAAAAATTTTTTAATGTAATTTATAATTCTTGATTATATAATTCACAGACATACTCAATTATTCGAACTAATGTACATACTTTCACGTGAAGAAGTGATAGTCTTGCCTCAGATTGGTTGTATATTACATACTGCGGGACAACATCATTGTTTGCAACTCTGAGTAATTTTTAATTTTATATTGTATTGTCGCTGATGATGATCCGAAACGAAGGATCGAAACGTTCGACATAATATCTATGTTATAGATTTTAAGATTATATTTTTGCGCACTGCTAACAGCGTTGACTCTTAATAGCCTTTGTATTTACTTAAATTTTTTGTATTGTTTTTGAAACATATAAGAGTCTATAATTCAATTATATTATTAATTTATTAATTTTTTATTGTAATGTCTTATTTTTCCATGGAAGAGCCTGCTGCAGAGGTGACTAAAGATACAAGAGTGTCTGCTAGAAAATCTGATAAGATTGTCGACGCTGTCATGTAAAAGAATATTTTGAAGCGACTGTAAACTTATGTTTAATGCCGAAGAATCAAAATTTTCTGTTAAAAAAAAGCTGTTGATAAATGTTGAAGAAAATAACGAAAAGCAGAGCTGAAAAATCAAATATAATTTCTTACAAAATATTTGTATTACTTTCTAACATATTTCAGCTATTGGACTATTCAGGATATGTAAAATGTGTTAACATAAATTTGTATATATCTTCCGGGTAATATTGGAACTTTTATGTCATATTAATTTTTCCTTCTTTTAATCCTCTTTTATAATATTACCAATCAGACGTATCGCGATTACACCTACGAGAACACAACATATTTTGAGATGTATTAAACGCGATTCCTTCTACATATCTGTCGATTTTAGTTTTCGTATTTCCACGTGTGCCCTCTTTATTTCTTCGCGACTTTTTTCTAGCCTCGCGACTTCCGCCACGGAGCTTCCGCCACATATTTATGCTAAATAAGGATTCGAAATACGATATTGCTCCCTTGCGTGGGTTTGCCTTACGGCTAGAAGTTCGAACGTGCGCATGCATATACGATGCATAAGGATCCTTCGAGCTGGTGCAATCGATGCGACGTGCAAAGTACCCCCGCTTCGAAATGTCATGACAGGGAAACTCCCCACCTTCGAAGCTTGCAATGTGCCATAAGATTTATTGCAAAGAAAAAAAATTACTCCGCGCCCCGTATAATAACCTCTTCTTTTGATAATTTGCCATATCAATTGATTTATACAAGATTATTTTACACTAAATGCATTATCTTCATCGCACGTTTTGTCAACTAATTTTGAATTCACTTTTCTTTTGTAACGGTAATTTTAATCTTTGAATTATAAATGACTGAAAATAAGGAAGCCTGTAATTCACAAGGAAAGAGAGATTCATTTTCAAAGAACCACTTTTTAGTTGCTACTTAAGATTCAATTTTAACTTATATGCTTTAGAACTGTGTAAACCTAATAATGTTAATCGGGTTTAATATAATGCTTCTTTATAATCTCAAAATATAATTTCAAAAATTAAAACAACACATCAAATTTTTTAATGTCTAAAGCAGTGATTTATATACGCAGATTTTCTTTTTTCTACAATGTGGAAAAAACGTGAAGCAAATGCACTTTGCGAAAGATGGGAAAGGAAGTAATTATTTTGAAGTAAAAGCATGATACAAGGGAAAAAGAGAAAATAAAGAGAGAAAGCATATCCTGCATGGTAAAAGCATGAAGTAAAAAATGGGAGCAAAATAAAAGCATGAAACATAAGAGAACAATCTCGAATGAATAGCCTTTTGATTTTGTAATAAAACGACCATTTGTGTTGTGTATTTTAAAGCAAAACCCATTATGCTATCCTGATAGCATATCAATAGCTCTACCATAAAAGTTTTTTTATCTTTATCGTATTTGCTATAATCTCAATTGTAAAAGTAAATGTCTTGCATGAGAGGAACAAACGAGTCCTTTGATATTCTTTGTACAAATAAGCATTAGCTTCATTTTACACTTACAATTTATTGTTTCCAAATTGAGAAGTGTTTCCTAAACTATTATAATGCCATGGAAAATTAATATGGAAATTCTAATTTTACCGCAGCATAATTCGCTTTTACGCTCATTACAAATTCAGGTTTAATTACAAGACGATTTTAAACCGCGTGTAAAAGCAGAAAGGAGAAAACGGTCTATTGATATCATAAAAGCAAAGCTACTATCATTCAGTATTTAGAGTGAACATGTAAGAGCATCAATTAAATAGACTTATCATTCTCGCGTCGACAATTATTTTATAAAATTCTATTTTAAAAGACAATTAATTATTGTTTTTTATATCTATTAAGATTGTATCTATATTAAAGCTAGTTGTTCCTTCTTCAGATAAACTGTAATATGGTAATTTATTTATTGAATGCCATAATAAAACGAGTAAAAGAGTAAGAGAGTGAGCTGAAGTTTACCAAAGAACAATCATGGTTTAGGTAGAACAACCCAGCCTAAACCATGTATTGTTTCAAAACTTCAAGTTTTTGTTTCAACTTAATGTAGAAATATTGTTCATGCATGGAAATTGATATACTTTTGATACTTTCTATTTCTTGCTGTTTTTCTTTCTTTCATCAATGTTCTGAAATAGAATCGTCTTTTTCATCTCACTATTTCTCACACCTTGCGAATAGAGACGCCACTTGCACTGCTGCAGCACGAAACCAATCAACTGTTTGCATCTGGTACCGACATACAATTTGCTGTACTTTGCACAGCGTTCTGTTCCCGTAATAATGTAGTTCGTGTCTAAATTAATCGACTATTCTTTCAATTTCTAACACTTTGTCACATTTTACGTTCCACTATCTCATAAATTAATTTCAGCGATGTGAATATATAGGACGTGTTTGCATTGGTTCAATTCGTTTTAAAAATTTTAGAATATTGATACATAAATGCAAAGGATTAAATGTATATTCTGTCATAAATACATCCAATAATATGTTCAATGATTTGTAGCAAGAGTTTTTTTAAATGAAAATTCAATGTTTATTCAAGACTAAAATTAATTTAAATAGCACGGGGCAGACGTCATGAATTTTCCAGTTGTACGTAAATAAAGCCTCATGTGTGTGTGTGTGTGTGTGAAAGAAATTTATTTTACATTTTCAATTTATCTTGCACAAAATCATTCATTTCTCGATATTACCATGATTTTAACACTCTATACAAAACGCACGTTCCGCATCAATAAACCGCTTTATGAGTTTTGAAATCTCGTCCCACGAAAATATACGTATTGTGTATGCAACGATGTAATTTGTTGGCTTTAATAACGTATATGTTTCTCTGGAATATATATTTCAGTCGCTCTTGCACATAACGTTACCGTTACAGATATACATACCTCGTATTGCTGAATCATCGTCGATCTGGAATTTGAGCAAATTGAATCGTCTGGAGAATTTTAGCGTATGCCACAAGTCATCATTAAGACCTTGCCCAGCTGTCAATAACTGAAATAAAAAAATATCTGTTAAATTCTTCAATTCATAAAACAATCTCTTCCTCTTTTTTCTACGTCTTCCTTTTTCAAATATTGTATGTTACAAGTACTTTATTACACCATACAGATTTTATAAGAAAATGTTTAAGTAATTGTAGATATTTGTAAGGAAAATTTAATAATGATAATATGTATTTGCATCATAAAAAATTGTTCTTTCTCTCCTTTTTTTTATTTACTATTTACGAATTTACAGAAACAAAGTCGATGCACGTATATATACAACGAGGTTTCCAATTTTTATTGCATTTTTGCAGCGTCGTGTTGCAATAGGTTTAACGCTATCGATAAACCACCTCTATGAGATGCACGCCATTCGGCCAAGTCCCATAAATCCAAGCAACTCGTCACTATCTGGCACAGTCCCCACTGCAATATACGATATCACGCGTTGTGTGACACCTGACGCACGTTTGTCATCTAACGTCATCTATGCACCGCCGCTATTGCCGTTGAAAATTATTATTATTATCACAAAGCCTACTAATTCATTGTTCAATTCGTGTCAATCGCTAAAAATACATGCTCTATATTTAATACGTACTAGATGTTTAAAAATGGCTTACTATTAAATTTCCATTCAAAAGAACTTAATTTTAACTTCCGTCAGAGTCTTTGTAAGTAAAACGAAATGTGCATTACATGATAAATTGACCTGTTAAACTGGATTGTATTTTTATGGAACTATTTCTTCCTTTGAAACTTTTCTAGCTTTATTTAAATCAAAATCAAGCTCTGCATCAAGTGAAAAATTTAACTTTATGTGACATAGAAAATGTAATAAATGTATAACGTATGTTATGCAGATTTTAAAATTATATAAAATTACTGAGAAAAGATTTCATCAGAATACATTTCATATATATTTTTTAATTTATGTTTAATGTTATTAAAAACAACTATACCAATAAATAACTGGGACAGAAACAATGCGCAAATAATTTTACTCGTTTTTCAACTCAGATTAAATGTCGAATAAAGTAATTAAAATTAAAATAATAGAATGGAAAAATGGAATAGCTATGAATAAATGTATAGTAACTTTTTTAAAATAAAAGTAACAATACAATATCTCAATTAATAAAGTACCTATTTTATCATTATAATTTATACAATACTCTCGCTATAATAAAAAGAATATTAATAAATTATCGAAAATTGCGGATAATCTCGCGGTCAAGAAAAGCTCGCGGTTTGAGAAACCATCGCGATAGAAATCTTCGTTGAAACGTTCTCGAACTTCCCAGGAACTTCGCGGAAATCTGGTTTTCCGTAGACTAATCGTCGAGCGTCGCATTATCGTATCAATTATTCCATCCAATTAACGAGTCCATGTAGGTGCAGAGATTGAAACATTACCGTAAATTACTGTGCGCCTTGTACGCTCGTGCTTATACGCGTGTACTTGTAGATCTGCACGTTGGCTCCTCATTCACGCGCGATACGAGAGTTCCAAATGACTTCGACCCAAGATTGTTAATCCCAGATTAACGCAACACCTATTTAATATCCACAATAATAATGCCATAGTTGGGTCACTGCTTCCCAACTAATTCTCCTCAACGCTTAGACGATCCATAATTCGGGACAGAATTCGGAATTATGTTTCGTATATAACTTTATCAAATTAGAAATTTAATTATCAAAGTGAGAACAATTTGTGATATATTAATTATATATATATATATAAATCTACATCTAATTCTTTTTTTCCATATCCTGTTATTGTTAAATAAATCAATAACGTAATATTTCAGAATATAATACTCGAGAATTGTATGTATAAAGGCTAATGTAAGAGAAGAAAAGAGAAAGAAGTACAAAAAATAAATTGTACATTTATGCATCATCTAATGAAATAGCTGCGAAATCGAATCGGCCGATTTACTGTTCGTTCAACCGGAAGCGTCGCGATTGCAGAATTGCTTATGTATTTCCACGTATATGCGGATGGTACAAGGTAGGAATGGAGTGTTGGAGATTGCGTGAACGAGAGGTTGCAGGATGCATTCAGAAATGCATTTGGCTCCCGGGAAAACGATCGATGGAGCAACACAGAAGCGCTCTTCGCGACCTTGAGATAATACTCTTGCTAAATCTTAAAAATTTTACGAAGATTTATTAATTGTTTAAATTAAGATATTTTATATAAGTATAAAAAAAATATTTTGCTATATTCAACATGACAGTCGTTAAAATTATTTAAATACTTTACTTCATGTAATTTTATTTTACTAAATTGTCTCATCTTTTTTTCTCATCTACTAGAATAGCATTATTTTCGAAAAATGTAAAAAGTTCCTGAATGTTAAGTAAGATAATATATTTAGTTATGAAATCTTTTCTGTCACATTGCCAAAAGAGAGTTAATGTATAGTAAAGCGTGAAAATTATTATATCTTATACTTCGGCAGCAATTGTCGAGAATACGTTTTATGTGTTCAACTTTCCCGTCAAAAAGAATATTCCGTTACATGGAGATGAGAGCCGCCAGCCGTTTACTTGGCGGATGTTGCTGCGGGTGACGTATTAAGTTAACGTCATGACGTCGTTTCGCAACGAGAGAACGATCCACGTCAACTATATCGGGACGACGTTCAACATCGGAGATGCTTCGGGAATGTAAATCCTCATGGACCACGCGAGGCCCTTTAACTTCTGAGCGGATGCTCGTTGACATTAAGTGGATCGAATTTGTCTGAGATAAATCCAATATCTTATCTTTTCAACAACGCGTCCTTATTTGTAATAAGATTTGTTTAAATAAAATTTATAATAAAACATTTACAAAAATCTAGCAATATATTCGGATCTATAAATATTGTGTTAAATCATAAATCGGTAAAATGAGACGTTAGTCGAAAAGACATGAAACAATAATTAATCCGTACATAATTATATTTAAAGCTTACGTAGGTATTTAATGATATCCATAACAGTCTATCGTATTTCACTTCCAAGGAAATGTAAATATTTATAGGAATTCAGAATTAAAGTTTACGTGGGTATTTAATGATATCCATAACGGTCTATCGTATTTCATTTTCAAGGAAATACAAATATTTATATAGGAATTCAGAATTATAAGTTTCTTTATTTTGCAAATAATATAGTCGAGTAATTTAATACTTACCTTTTCTCGATCTCCGATGTGAATCAGCACGTGTGCCTTGCCCTCGTCTAGATAAATCTGCAAGCGATCAGCGCCATTCTCAAAGCTAGTCGCTAATAGAAGGCCGCGCGGTCTCGTCGTTTTGAATCGCACGACAATTTCCTCCGCCTGTGTTCTAGAATCCTCCGGCATCAACGCCGTCATTTGTTGCGTACCATTTAGATGCAATGTCGACGCATCTGTAATAAGCCACAACAACTTGTTACTTACTAAGAACTCATAAATAATCGCGAAGTTCATTCAGTACATAAGTTGCCTTGGACTAGTCGAATTATTTAATGATTAAGTTTTAAGCGTAAATAATTTGTTGTAAAAACAGAAAGCATATCGGAGGCTTGTCTTTTTATTTTGAAACATCAAATCACTTTGAAAAAGTTGCGTAAAAGTATATTTTCACCTTTGCCACAGGTAGGCCCTGTGAAAGACGTATTAGTGCAATCGCAGTGAAATCGATTCCACCCTTCAAGGCAAACGCTACGGTGCATACATGGGTTCGAAGAACAATGCGAGGCTTGCATGTGACATGCGGGTCTTACTGCACCTGCAAAATACATGCACAATCGTGAAATATTAAAGAATCAACTTGATGCAAGCAAGAGTACACCTTAATAATATCTATAATTTAATTTTTCTCATTTGTTTTCCATTTAAATGTTTCCACACAGAAATCAACTAATTTTTATATTTTGTCAAAAATGCATTTCCGAATTCTTATATAATAATCAAAAATACTGATCGTATGTTTGATCGGGAAATTGGAAAAAATATAATAATTAAACATCACGCCTGCCAGACGTTGAATATACTGCAATATCTACTTTTTTCCAATAATAAAAAAAAATCATATCTCCACTCGCCCTGTATAAATATTAGTAATACTGTACGCCGCAGGATGTTTTTAGTAACAAATAGTTAACAAACATGGTTATCTCGTGTAGGACAGAATAATATTTAGTTTCAACAGTAACTATGGTTTGATTGTTACTTTAATTACGTTATTTCAAATCTATCTTACATCTGTGTTCAAATAATCGTGTTATGTTGATTTAAAGACATTCAATTTGTAATTGCAATTAAATATCGACAAATAACAAATAATAAAATCTTGAAAAGTAATTTTATAACTGTTACGTAAATTTCGTACTTTTTGAAATTGATTACGAATCATTCTTTTTCGGTAAACATCATCTAAGATGGTTTCCTTATTATCTTATAGGAATAAATGTTGAAATTCAATTCGCTTACCCGAATCTTGTTGTTGCGCGTATCCTGCGATGTCTATTGGATTTCCATTAATGACGAGATCTCTCATGCAGCCCACGTAGCCTTGTCGAAGGGCGCCCGTCCACAAAACGGGTGGAACAGTTAAAGGCGCAAAAGGTGCGCCCACACCACCGATATACAACAAGCCATCCAAGTCTAATTGCGTGGAATCTCCTGCCATTAAATTAATTGTATTATTAATATATGTTAAAAAACTGTGTTATAGTTTTTTATGTATCATCAAATTGGAAATTTATTTAAATATTTAACACTATATCATATATGTATGTATAATAATAAGTATATGTATATATTTATTTAAATATTTAAAATAATACACAAAAATTGTTGTGCATTGTTCGATATGATGTAGTCTTAAAAGTACAGAGGGAACTATAATTAAGAAAAACTAATTAAACAATTAACCAACATTTTCAAAGCTTTAAAAGAAATTTTAATTATTTTTAATAATTATCGGAACAGAGCAAATAATGAATAAAAATCTATCAAAAATCTAACAATCTATGTAGCGCGTCGTTCATATTTAGCGTACACGATAAATCAATTAAGACTGGCATTTAATAAATTGCAAAAATGTATATGCTGTGACACAAACATCAATGTTTAATTAATATCGATCCCGAACTTTTCTGGAGCGTCAAATAAATTGAATAAATTCAATGTTTTCTGACATTATTGGTCTAACGCTTATTTCCAACATATTTTGATATATTGAAACTTTTATGTAATAAAACTTAAGAAAACAAATATAATAACATAGAGATATATATATGTATATATAATACAGAAAGCAATGAATTTAGTACTTTTGACACATCTACATCCCACACTACGTTTTCTCTTATATTATTCCCCTTGTTCACAAATGTAGATTTTGTTTTCCTTTGCATCGCGGTTAAACAAATTATTTCGTAGAGAACGTAGAAAACCAAAGATCTTTTTCTGCGCTCAGTAGTGATCCGCGTTATTTGCTCGCGGTTTTACAAGGGCGCAAGGACGGAATTGCTTCAAGCTACGTTGGTATGATTCAAAGGAGAGTTTTGTCGGCGAATTAACCGTCCGTGTAATTCGGCTAACCGCGACAGGCTCTAGTCGTGGTAAGATGAAAACGGTGACAGTCTGACTAAAGTTGTAAATTTATCTCGCGAATGTTCGGTGAGAGAGAGCAGAAAGAGAGACAGACAAATATACATATATGTATAAATAAAGAGATTGGGAAAAAACGGAGAAATTTATAGCATTGTGAAATAATTTTCCTCAAGCAACAAAATTCAATATACTATGTAATGAATGAAACGTGACAAATAAATCAATTAATAAAGTATAGGTTTATTGGACGTATGTATTTCATTAACGTACATATCTAATAATTTCATAATATTCCTTTATGGAGTATTAATCTATTGCTAAAATATGGTATAAACATTTTTTAATTATCTGATTCAAAAAAATTATTTTTAATATAAAAATATATTATTTAATTTGATTTTTAACGTGTAGTAGGTAATGGTAAATTGTCCGCATAGTCTGGAAAAAAATTGAGAGAAAAATATAGAAAGCTAGAGTGTAGAAAAAAGTTGCTGATGAGCGGTAGAATTAACAGGAAAGCGGAAACAAATGAATAACTTACAATTAGTCCTTCGCTCGGCAAATTTTGGAAAAAAAAAGTATCACTGTCTGTATGTAATGTATACTTTATCTGTTAATTAATGGTTCTAGACAGTCAGTCGAATAAGGCAAAAAATAACGTTACCAGAAAATCATAAATTAGAAAATGTTAAAATATGCATGTATATACGAGTATGTATACCTTATGTAACGAGAATAGAAAAAATTTAATTGTTCAATTCAGCCGGGTAGATGTTTTATTGAAATGATGAGTAATTGAAAAGTAAACTATATATATCATTGTCGTATGACGCATGTTTCTTTTTTCCTAAATACGATATTATTTTAATTATAAGAATATATGCGTATATATTTATTGCAATTAAAATATGCGTACACAAGCTGTCTGGAATCCATCGGATACGCTTTTTGTTGTATAGATTCTAATGGCCAAATTAAAATAAATGTTTTCTATCTAAATATATGCATTGTTATGACACTTATATTGTGTTTATATAGTTAATAATTAAAAATTCTTTCTAATAATCTACGGATTAAGATTTATGGTAGATATTTTATTTTGTACAGAATATAGATTGATAAATTAAAGTATATATTAAAAATTTTCTTTTTGTTTTATTACTTGCTAATTAATGTTCTTTATTTTTTAAGCGATCTTTCTATATCTTGCTGTTGATACCATATACTGGTTTTCACAAATTCATTAAATTTTTTTCTTTAAAATAAGTCGGTGACAATAAGCACTACATAGTAACATCTTCAGCAAGCCTAAGTCATCGTTACCTGCGGAAGGATATATGGATCCTTGCTGTCTCAATGAAATTCTTTTTATCATTTTTGCGGTATCGTTCACGTGTTTGCGACCGTACATACGTAGTGCTTTATCACTTAGTCGCGGCACGGTGAGTAAATTCTGGACACACCGCGGTCCACCGACATAAACGGTGAACTGAGCGAGCCGAGCCACTCATAATTCAGAGTTACACGCTCGAGGACACTTATCTGCCAGACCGGGTTAGACACTTTATGTATACGGTGAGATAGCTCTTTTTGAAAAACTGCTACTGCACGCATAAATACGCTGCGATAGACATCAGCAATTTATCGATACAGTTTTAAGAGCGATAGTTTATTTTCCGAAAATATAAATACTTTTATAAGATAATTAGGTGATTATCAATGCAAATCAGTCATTTGATTTCTTTATGTATCCATCTGAGATATCTCCACAATAAAAACTATTATTATTATTAATATATTAGTTACTTTTTATTTAATAGTATTTGAGAACATTATGAATATGGATTTAATACATAATTTTCTTAAAAAAAAAAAAAAAAAAGTAAAAATCATCGAATCAATATCAAACTAAGTAAGCTTATTTGTAACAGTATTTATAAAAAATAAAGATTTTTTAATTAATATAATGCTCTTTCATCTGCGGGTTTTTGATAGAATTGCATATTTAAAGATTTGTAAAGAACAGTTATTAAAAAAAGAAAACGTTGTTAAATAGTATCTATACGAAACGTGCAGCGATCGGGGTGTAAAGAGTTGCGTGGCTGCACCAGTTCAAATTCACTCAGCACACGTATCAAATTTTATTTGATTGCTACCCTCTTCGGAAGGCAATGACAAACCATTTTTGTCATGCATTAAGAGACTAGTACTCCCAACCTAATAGATCGTTCAAAAATGACGTTAAAAACTACAGGCCCCGAATATTAGTGAATATATACAGAAAAAAGAGGTATATTTTATTCTATAAAATATTCATTCTATCAACACATTTCGTATAAAACAATATTTTACAATTCACATTTTTTCACTGCTGAGAAATAAAAATTCCAGGTTATTATTCCCGAATTAATAATCTTGCAAACGCGAATAGTTCTACTACTATTTTTTTTATATCAATATTATCTTCTTATACAATTGTAATTACAATACACGTTTTCTATTCTATAAAGTGTTTTTGCATGTAAAAAAAGCTATAATATTTTTCATTACCTGGCGTACGAAACTCGACTATGTTGCTGTCGACAGTGACTCGAATTTCTCTTTCGACTCTCCTCAGGACAACGTCGTGCCAAGTGCCATCATCCACGCGTGTTTTTGACGACTTTACTTTAACGGGACCGCTCCCGAGATCGGCGTGCGTATAAAGATATCCACCAAGAATCTCGAAAGCAAACAGATCTTCCTGTAATAAATGAAAATAGTCCATTTATTACGATATTGCCACTTCAAACGTAAAATAAATCGTTTCTGCCTGCGCACAAGTTTTCTACAAATACGTCAATATATTATTCTTATTATTTAATAGATTTTGTAATGAAGATTTATTTAATTGATAAATAATATTATCAATTTAATAAATTATATATATATATATATTTAGGTATACTTTGTGTAAAGAAACAATAGAATAGAAAGTGTTTTTTAAATATTTAGTGAATTGTAGCCGAATGTGAGATTTATATTTTTCAGCTGTGTTTAAAATAAAGGACGCTCATTGTCGTAATTTATTGAGTTTCTGTTATTCTGGATAGATGGATGAAGATATATTATGTCGGCGTATCGTTGGTGTTAATGGGATTACAAAATAAATGAAGATGTATTGGCTTAAATTTACTAACCATCGGAAAAGACTTGTCAACTGTGTTAAATAACGTTTGATAAATGTCATTAGAATGATTCACATCTTTTAAATTTTATAGTCTATAATTAGTCTTCTGTTAGATTTAATAAAAATGTATATATAATACAAAATATATAATTACATAAATATTTAAATTACACACATTTAATTCTAGAAATTAATTATTATTCATTAATTCATTTCTCCATAATAAATATAATAATAAATCTAAATTTAATAATATATATATATATATATAAATTTATGTTTTAAAAAGAGTATAGATATTTGATATTTTGAAAACGTCTCAGAATATCAAGTAATCATCAAACTCAGACGCAAAGGTCGCTGACCGCCAGAATTCATTGATCGTCGGAGTGTCACAGGAGGGTGAAATTGTACATCGATAATTAAATTACTGTTAGTCGAGTGTGTAACCGCGACTGAAATGAGTTTTGGGACAAAACTCATTTCAAAAGTGGCTTGTTATTTTGAAAAACGTTTTTAGTAGCCAATAATTGTTGAACGTGTAATCGCACTTTGACAGGCACATTTGGTTTCATTGTCCCAAGCTCTTCTGTATTGTTTCACTTTTTTTTGCGTAACATATTAATTGTGTTTGTAAAAGTATTAAGTGAAAACTTTTATATTTTATTATCCTTTTAATTTTCTCGTTACAATGATTATTTTAATGAAAAGGAAAAGCTGAAGGATATACATACCCTCGTTTGCGCTCCGCTGCGGCTGTACATAATCAATCCGTTGGGCTCGTTCGTACGAATTTTGAAGGATATAGTCCCGGTCTTGGCGGCTTTCCAGGGTGGCAGAACCTGAAACAAATGAGACAGATGGTTTCTACTACGTCGCTTTGGGGCCTAAGGAGAAAAAGAAGCGGTGTGGAAGAAGCCGCGTCGTCCTCGAGGAGAATGGACGAGCTAGCCTTGTCGTGCCCAGCATCCGCAATCTCTACGTGCAATCTTACGAATCCGCCATTCATCATAAAGCTCTTGAAAGAATCAGATCACTCGTTTAGGCATGAGTGATGGCGGGTGAAATCATCGCAACCAGTATAATAATGGCTTGCAGTGACGATCACGGACGTTTATGTGCTTATTTAAAATGTTACAAGTCGATATCTTAAATTTATAATTTTTTTAAAAATAGTCGTCACTATGGATTCAATCGATGCAAATTACAAAATGTGGGTAACTATAATTAATATCTATTTTAAAATGTTCTAATTTTTCTTAAAAGATTTCGACTGCAGTTCTATTTCTACTTTAAAACTGATAATGTGACGATAATCTTAATTACATGTAAATGAAATTACATTTGCATATATATATGACACAGCAGATTTTTATAAATAAATTATTCTAAGCCGCTAGAAACATAATTCATACGCATGCACGCACACTTACACACTTATATAGTTTACATACCTTCAGATATCAATATAAAATAATATTCTTTTTATTTTTTTCCTACATAAAATATAGGTTTCTTTTTATGTTTTCCAATATACCTATTGCATCCAATTTTTCAAATAGAAATATTTGCCTGTTGCACTTTTATCAAATACAATAGCAATTCTTTTATCAACCGCGCGTCTAGTGAGAATTTTTTTCCGAGAAACAAAATATTTCAAACGGAAGTATCTTTTTTTTTTACACGCAATACTTGTTACAGCGACTGTTTAAAGAATCAACAATGCCCGAGCAACGTGCATTTCTACCCGTAAACGAAATAAAGAATAAAAAAATGTGTCTTTGGCAGTCCCAAGTATGAAACTCATTTCGCGCGCCAACAGTTTGCGAAATAATAGAACGTTGACAAACATGCGTGAAGAAAAATCCGAGAAAATCACAGAATTGCTGCCGTATAGTGAAGCGAGCGATATACATCCACACATACACGTACTCACACACAGAATGTCCCAACGAAATCGGAGAAAACAAGAAAAAAAAATATGTTGTATTCTGTACGAGCAGCATCGCGCAAAGACCGGAAATAGTCGGTCGAAATACAGGGTTGCGCGTTCGTAGATTGCGCGCGGGGTGTATGTGTATAGCCGTTTCCGTATTCGCGAGAATGAACTCTGTATCCGAATTTAAGCGTTTTGAAAGCGTTTTGTTTATCCAGCAATCATCTCTTATAGATTTTATAACCTATAAGAAACAAATTGCAATAAGTTATCTCTCACATTTGCTTAAAATTAAATTACCTTTACATTTTTATTTCTAATTGTATGATAATTTGTGAACGTTTTAAATATTTTTAACTATCGGTATGTAATATTATTATCTCTGACGTAACATTTATTGTTTACAAAGCATTTTGTTTTCTTGCAATCTTATCTGGTAATCTCCAAAACATTTAAAAGATTCAAAGTTTCTTTTGGCGAATGTAAACTCTCTTAATTAAATTAGATAAAAATACTTTGTTTTTCTTTTATAACGTAAGACATTTTGTTGTTTTTTAAAGCATTTTATTTATAATAGTTTATTTATTTCATTACCGAGTGTAAATTTCGGATTTGATCTCGTAGAGTAGTGTTTGAACGCTTAAGTACTGTAAGTTTCATTCTTTCTTTATCGTTCATTATAAGCAGGGGGAAGATAAAATATATCGCATAAAATGTCCAAACCAAACATAGTCAGAGAATAACATCTCGACAAATACAGTACGTCGAATAGAAAAACAAATGAGGCGGGTAAAGAATAAAATGCATCGACCATAAATCTGCGTATCGTCTTTTCTCGCATAAAATCCTGTGTATCTCCTTTATTCGATTTCGCGAACAATCAATGCAGCTGATAGAAAAGTGTACGACGTGCCACATTATCCGCTTTGACAGTCAAAAGTGATGCAGCCGTATTTAAAGTCGCGCGACGTTATACGGTCAGGTGCGCTCTCTGAATAATGCAGAGCACGCCTAACCGCTATGAATCAGCATCAGACGAAATGGGTCTTCCCGTTGTAGCTCATACTTCTTCTCTATCTTTTCAGCTCCGTAAAGATTTAACATAAGCAACCGCAAGATGCTGTCGTAAGAATACGTCTGTTTTTCGCGTTTTTCGTGTCAAATATTTTTCTGCTTTATTTTCTGAAAGAGACAATTTTACGTATACAAGCCAACAATTCGAGAACATTTTTTTTAAATTGACATATTTGGGATTACTTATTCAAATATCTATAAAAATACGTTTTTTATATAACAATTCTTTAGATCTAATAACTGTTATTCGATCTGAAGAATTATTACTATTTAAAAAATACATCGTTATAAATATTTAAATAAGTAATCCCAAAATGTATCGATTTTTGATCTAAAGAGAATTACTGTTTATAAAGCACATTGTTATGAATATTTGAATAAGTAATTTCAAAAATGTCAATTTTTAGATAGTGCTTCCAAACTTTTTACCTAAAGTTATGTCCTTCTCTTATTATTTTTGCGTAATTAAGTGCGGATTTACTTTTACGAAACGCTGATTATTCAGTTCGATAATTTCAAGCTGTTATTTAATTATATACAGATATAATTCATATTCGCATATATTCATCAAACTACAGAGAGGTATTAATATAATGAATCTATAGAAAATGTAAAAATAAAAATAAATTCGCATTTGAGAAAGTAAGGGTGCAGATATAATTATTTATAAACTACCAAGAGAAACCACATTTATACCAAGAGAAGATCAACATTTAAAAAGCAATGACGTCGAAATAGCACAACAAGCGACTTCTCTTTTGCAATTAGAACTAAAACAACGGCCGAATAAAGAGGCATTGCCTGTTTTGTGAGAGATCATAATTAAATGAGGCACCTCGCGAGATTTATTCGCAATCTGAAAGAGTCGTCAGAGAAACTGCATTTCTGGTTTTCTTCCTTTTTTTCCTTCCTTTATTTTTAGCTCAAACGCCGTACAGTAATTAGGCCACTCGTACAGGCCATCTGCAGAACAAAGAACGACCAGCAATATTTTCCGTCCGAAACAGAAATGGACAAAGGATTTCATCCGTCGCCGTTAATCAACGTCTGATGAGATGGCTACGGTTCAACTCGATCCTACCATGTCGCTCAAATACTTGGCTCTACGTGTATTTAAATTCAGAGATAAACGGTGCGTCCGTTTCAAAGCACAAAGCACATGACCTAAATACCTAAAATAAGGGTGGCGTGTTAACATTTTCTTAATAAAAAAAAAAAAAGAGAAGAAAAATCAGAAAAATTGCCCGTTCGTTTTGCCGACAACTCTTTCAGATTGTAAATACAATTTCTTTTTTTCCTACGATATAGAATATGCATTAAAAAGGAACAGTTCTCTATTTTTAATTTGAGAAAGAAGTGCACTTAGTAACGGATATGCTGTGTGTCATATCCTAACTGTAAAAGCCACGATTTGAGAAAAGGGAGAAGGGAATATGCGACATGGTAGGAAGAATAAATAACAAGTCTCGTTACCGAGAGTTTTCGGTCCGGCTTTCCATCCAGGGAAATTAGCCCCACTGTCATGAAACTCCAATTACACTCGTGCCTCCAGTGTCTGCACGAAATCCGCGTATTCCCCGGACATCCGAATTTCAGCAGAGAAGAATTTCGAGTGGAATAAATAAATATATTTCTTTTTAAGCAGCACAGAACACACGATGTAACAGATAAATGATCAAAAAGCGATTCAAACGATATTAAAATGATCTCCGCGGTTTTCTCAACTCCGACCTAAAAATTTGTTACTAAAATACTTGGAACATTACTTGGTGCATCAGTATAGAGATTCCGAAGTGTCTGAAATACCAAAAGTCCGCGAGATTGATACTGCCCGCAGAAGCATCCACACGCAAACGGAAAAACTTTTTCCAATTTCACCTTTGGGAACGAACCCGTAACTCGCCGCGAGACTCGAGACGGTTATCTTGAACCTAGAAACTTCTCCTGCAATACGAAGAAGAAAACGGGTTCTATGCATGATTTTCCTCTACATGTGTGGAAATTCTACGCGAGAACAATAAAACGATCGTTACAGTTTTAGTATAGACACTGGCGCGCGTCTAATCAAGTTAATATTGGCACAGCCAATTTAAAATCCCAATTATTATTAAGTATCAATGATCATACACGATCTGGTATTTTTTTTACGTTCTGTATCTTTAAATGATTTTTGTATGTAAAATTATCCTGTTTCTTGGATCACCCCGTCAATGCATGTATAAACGCGGAATCTCATTCACTTTAATACTCCTGCATCAATATTCGATGTGCCGCACTGCAACGTCTGCAGTAATACCATCTGAATAACAATAAATATTTCGGGTGAAATACGTAGTCAACGGATCTTGCGCAAATATCTAGGAATCAAGCAGGTTCGTAATTATTAATTGCGCGGTTGTCGAAGAAACAGGAAATCACAAAATTTCACAGACCGAACAATCGGTGGTAAAAAGATCTATGATGGCAACGAAATATAACTACGGTAAATCTCTTTTAAGTTTCATGGCAATCTTCCTAAATTTTTTCCCTTGAAGAATCGCCGGGATCGATCTCGGACGACTTGTTCTCGGGTACCATATCCTCGGGATACTCTTCTTTGGATACTTCTTACGTTCTTCCGCCGTAGCGAATATCTCTCCGAACAACAATTCCGAAGAACGCGGCGGAGTACGGTACTTCACCGGTATATCTCTTTTGTTCATTCTGGAACTTTTTTTTATTCTCACTTTCAACAAGTTTCCGGAAGACACGCGTTACTGTCGAGAGTGGCTTTCAACGGTAATCCGCCTTAACAAACTGACTGCCGGGCTATGATCCGGAACGCGATCACTT